AATAGCTTGCTGAGAAAAACCAGAGAACCTGTGGCTACAGAGGGATTTCCTTCTCACTCCTCACATACCCACGGCCATTAGTTCCTTAACCGTGATATATAGAAGCCACCACTCCGATAACAGGAAACGGTAATGGCACAGCGATGCAGACAGATAACAGCACTCGTCTGATCATTGCGCTATAAGCTCTAGTGGAAGCGGTAGATAAGAGTCCTTCATGATAACGAGAAAAACCTCATCAGGGGTCTTATCTTGGTCACTTCGGGAGGCAGGACCGTGTTAGGGTAGCGATCCGCCAGTACTAAAGCACATGCAGACGAAAAACAGTAAAATTTTGTCCTTGTCAACCATTGGGTCACACTGTTCAAATCCGCGGGAGTCGAATTCATGGTTACTCACTTTTCAGCCGTGAACCTTAGCTTGTTGCTGGGGGGGGGGGGATGGACGGCGAATGGGAGATCAGTCTATGATAAGCTTACTCAGTTCAACGAGAAGATGCGTTCTGGAGGGATAGTGAGGTTTCGATACAATTCTTGTCACAGAGTGAAAAAAGGAATTATGTGTTATGAAAAGCTCGGAACTTTACCCAGCGAAAATCCATTCAAAATATCCCTCGATCTAACAAGTCTACCGAGAAGAGTAATGTGTTTTGGAAAGGGGGGACATCCTACCTTTAAACGACGATTTTCAGTTCCGCAAACAATCAAGTACGGAAGAAGTTATCGTCGTTCAAAGCATGAAAACTCGCATCAGCTCTTCAATTCGTTCATCTAAAACCCATCAAAGGTACTATCTGAACTGGAAATGACTTCGAGTAGGTTACAGCCATGTTCCCCTGAAATGATGTGCGTGTGATGTGAATGAGGTGGACAGGGCGACACCAAGGCAGTTTTTTCACTATGGATACATCCTGAGTCAGCAATATTGCGCAGGGAAAACCGTCCATGGGACTGCTTCCATCATACCATTTCACGCCCCATCAGTTTGCAAGGTTCATTGACACTTGAGATCGTTACAAAACAATAAGCTAGTGCCTTAGTTCTCTTCCTTAGAAATTAACCCACTTCATTCAACTTTGTTTAAATTTCCCGAAATTGGCTTTCTAAAAAAGTTAGTGGGCGCTGTTTATCGACGGGAGGGGGGGATTTTATATATAATTGCTTCCTAGTTCCGGATTGTACAATTCTCAGTCAGGTAAAACTGATGATATGCTTGTGAATGCTGCGAGCAAGATCGTCTAGCCACCATCCTAAAACGTGTCAACTCGAAAAAAGGGTACCTAGATGGGATTGGCAAATCTATGAAAAGCAGAATGCCCCCCCCCGTCGATAAACAGCGCCAAGTTGTCATTTACAAGGAAAGCTTTACCGTACAGAAAAGGTTATCCGACATATGTAATCCCTCCAGCCACAATGGTACGATTAATGCGATTATGAACACCGGCGCTGGAAGGGACGCGCATAAATTTTCGGGGAAAGTCCGCACCAGATGAGTTAAGACCAGGAGAGATTAAATTGGCGTTTGAATATCAGAGGTTTCGGGGAAGCGAGAGAATCATAAGAATTGCTGCTTTTCACATCTCACAAATCAAATCTGGCTAAACTCACTTTCCACGAGCGCCGGGTCTTCTTGAATTCGAACCCGAAAACAGACGGGCACACGTTCGCGTGACATCCCCCCCCCCCCGGTTTCCCAGTACCTGCCACGCTCACTAACTTTACCTGCACAAACAACTCTAACTCACGTTACAAACCCTTCGCTCCTTCAATTCACTGAACAAAAGTTTTAATCGAGCACCCTTTACACCATGCTGCAGTTAACTTGAAGAGCTTCTCTTGTTCCCGTTTATTTGGATTTTCTGGCCACTCTTACCCGCCTAATGTCCAATGGGAAGTACCAGCGACATAGGGGTTAACATTGCACGTGGAACCTCAAAGTCTTTCAGCGTTATCCCCACTCGGCCTCTATTAATCTAAAGGCTCCATTTAAGAAAACCCATTCTGTAAAACTTAGAGCTCTCCAAGACCGAAAATGGACTTTGCACGAGCCGAGAAGAAAAGTTGCAGCCAATTTCAAAGGGTTAATCCCTTTTGTATTGGCTTCAGCCTCACCCCGTCACCTTTCCACCTCTTCTTTCCAGTTCCTCCTACAGTACAACCATAAAAGCTCGTATTTCCACTGCCTGCTCCTGCATCTGAGACGGACAAGCACGCATTCTGATCGCTTTCGTCGCGGTGCGGGTATTCGTGCAGCGAAATCGCCGCAGCCATAGCCTCGATATGTTACCAGCTTGTCTTCGAGCGACGGCTCATATTTGGTTCAAATGAACAGACCCATGGACAGGTGTATATCAGATTTTCCAGTCATTCAACGCTCAGTTCAACGGCAAGGCGGTAGGGCAAGCCGTCCATCGGGCGCGGCGCCGCACACCACGCCCAGCTTGGCCTATTACGATTGTCTTGTCACACACCTCCATTGCTGTAGTACCATGCGAAATGGTTCGGCTCTTTTACTCGACACAAGAACTCCGATTGACGTGACACTCTCATTTTAAAAATGAACCAGTTAAAAATTAATCGCCTACCGTATCATCGACGACATTTCATATGTATTCCACATGAAACGACAAATCAGTCAATATTCGTACACAAAGGATTATTAAAAATTTATCAATTTTTCTTCACAGTAAAAACAATACGCTGACACCAAAATGAATAACCTGGAGCACGCTTACTTTCAATCTCTAGAGTGGAGTGTTGTGTATCTTTGTTCTTTTCTCACAAAACAAAGCGAGGAAAATTAAAAAAAGAAGGAGGATAGAGCGCGCTAGAAATGAAAATGTATAGGAGCAACGACGAAAGAAAACATCTGCTTTAATCGATCGACTACAAACTTGTATACGATAATATGAAGAAAGAGGTGAAACAGTAGTAGTAGAAAAACTGTACAATCGGTGCATGATGAATAGGAGAGAGAGGAAGGATGGAAAAGGTGAGAGATACGAAAAATGTTCGTTTTTTGCCGACATTAGCTGCGCAGTGAAGATCGATAAGGTATCGATCACATGAGTGGAATAATGAACGGCTGGTGGGGTTGTACTAGACAGGGGCGGGAGAGGTAGGGGGCTGGTAGCTACTACGGGATACAACGCTGGAGATTGCCCGTGACATGCGCGCGCCGCGAATAAGTGGCTCGCGAAGTGAATCTTCGTTGGCAAAAAAAAAACGATGACTACACAATTAGCTCACAACATAATATAGTATATAAGCACAGAAAGAGACACCACACTTTGAGATATAGCTTTCTATTCATTACAGCGATACTTATGGAAGGAAAGCGAACTGAACAAAAAACGAAAAATCTTCTCTAGGTAAAATCATATGCTTGCGTCGGCTGGGAGGGATGGGGGTGGAATTTGTGCGGAATCTATGAGTTGCATAGGTGGAGCTGGCATCTCTCTTGCTAAGTAAGTAAATCGTTTATAGACACCACTAGGGGAAGTTTCAAGACCACACGAGACAGCGGTGAAAAATAGTAAGGCACTCGACAACACTAAACACTTTCCAATTATTGCTTACATAGCATATACATAAAAAGAGAAAATCAATAAATCAATAAACATATAACCAACGGTGTCTGAAAAACCACATACACACATATAAATGAGTGAATGAGTGAATTAATAATACAGATAAGGGGTTCATGGGGATTGAATGGGGTCAGTCGGTTGGGGAAAAGGGCCACCCGGCCGACCCGGGTGACGGACTGTGTGGTTGACGAGAGGTTCGAAGGTTGGCGCGAGGTTTCGTGTTGAGTTGAGAGGAAGCTCGACAAAACGCGGAGTCGAACAGCAGTGGATACATTGCACAAACAGTACAGCTGTAGATAGTAGTATGGATGCGAATAAAATATGTAATAATAAAGATGAGAACAAAATAATATGAATAATAAGAGAAATAGAGTGGTTAATATGGAGAAATTAGACACAGCAAAGATTTTCGAAGACAACAAGAAAAACTTCAACAGTCCCTGATGTGGGGGCGTAAGAAAGTTGATCGCAGTGTGGTAATTCGATGAGTGAGGGGTGCCCACAAAACGCTCACGAAGATGGGCCCGGGGTGTGCGTGGGGGCTTATCATGCAGGCGGTAGTAGATCGTCGGAGAAGCGTTGGGTGCACGACACGTGGGGATGGCAGTTAGATCCCTGCTAGCGCCCTTATTGGTTGGAGCCAAGCAACAGCTTAGCCATTTCAAGCCCTCGCTGATTGGCTTCGCCGCAAAAAAAAAACCAATGAGAGCTCTGCCTACTGGCCCAGCAGTAGTAACAGCCAATGGGAACCTTCCTTTGCGCTTTGAGTTAGTAACTCCATGTGAGAGCTCGAACGTAGCAGCCCAGCAACTGCCAATATGAGCCGGGAATTTCCTATGATCCTTAGAACAGACCTGCTTGCGACTCCACATAAGAGCCTATCACTGAGAGCACGACTAAGTGTGAACATTAGAGGCACACGGTAAGCGTTGCTGATTCGAGTAGCTAACACCCGTTATCGAGAGGTTTCAGTTGATTTGAGACGTCGAGCTGGCCAACCGTACGATTAAGCTGCTCCAATGTCGGTTTCATTGCGCGACTTATGGACACGACCAGCCTTCACCTAAAGCGTTTTACACCAATGCATGCTCATCGGATGCGCGATAGCGTAGATGCTCGCCTACCGCCGCTACCAGCACCTATACGACTAGGCTGTTAGAAGAGGGTCTTGCATCCTACCACTGATGGACTGATAACCGCGAGAAGGCCAAACTGGGGTAGAAAACTTTGCTTAAAATCACAATTGGTACCTTATTAACAACGATAATATAATGCGCTTCTCGATTATGACGCGATTTCGTAACATCACAGACTACGATCATTACCTAGGTAATAACGAAAGCAGAGCAATTGCACCATTTGGTGGCAGGCCCAACGCTGACTGCTCATAAGTGCTGGGCTAGCCGCCCGTTCAGAGGGGCTGCAGTACGACGGCGTTTTTCATTTCCGGCGCATAACTGGGTGGTATAAACGGGTCACCATTTGGTGTGATCTCTTCAAATGTGTATGATTTCGGATTGTAGAAGTCGACCGGTGTCGGTGAGGTATGACCGTAGGTGGGCAGCAGATAGGAAGGTTCGTTGAGTGGCGGCGGTGGTGGCGGTGGTTGTTTTTTTTTTTTTTTTTTTTTTTTTTTTTTTTTTTTTTTTTTTTTTTTTTTTTTTTTTTTTTTTTTTTTTTTTTTTTTTTTTTTTTTTTTTTGTGGTGGTCCACATTGCAGCATTCGTGGTGCTCCCATTGCAGGTAAGCCTGCAAAATCTGAAATACACAACACTGACGAACTGATTCACAACACAACATCGATGGATGTCCAGCTACTGGTTGCCATGAAGGCCGAAAATCATAGAGCTTTCGCTATCCCCAGGACTGTGCCTCGTCCACACTATAAAAAAACATTCTGTCCCACTCTGGTCTCTAACCACCATTTTTCTTCATAGCGGAAAGAGGCTCAACCGGATAGCCACGCCCATGAGGGCGGAGTCACACATGAGGCTGATCAATTGCCGCTCTCTCTCAAAGAATAACAATCCATATCTGCGAGCAAGGGGGGGGAGGGGTGGCGCATGGCCCAAGCATTCGATAGGAGAGTCAGAATCATACGTTCAAAGGTAGTAGGCACGATTGCAGGAGGTAGCGAATTTCGCCACCGTCATTGGTGGAAGTCTTGCGAAAGGACGTTGGGTTTACACAGCCGCTCAGCTCTCCAACCAATAGTTTGCGACAACCGGCCCCCCCTGCGATCGCTGTCACTGCTCTGTAGCAGGTATCAAGTCGACAGGGGACTACGCAGATGTAGCCGGGCGTAACGCCCCATTTGTCCTCCAATATCGACTGTATTCCGTAATTAGGACGGATTGAAGAAGGATCGAGAGGGACATCCTAGAGATAGATTCCGTGAAAAGTGGAAAATGGAGGAATGAGCTGTTTCTCATTCCCCCCTACTCTCTCCCTTGTCAAGATAGTAAAGAGAAGAGAAAGGAAGGCAGAATGGCTGCTCCCGCCTGTACGATCACCATGAATCGCACCCTTATCAGAGATTTTCGTTGAAATTTCAAGGTCCTTTATTCGCGACAGTCAGTTTGGGCGGAGGAACCACAAGCATTGCATATCTTCTCACTGGTGCCACTCTTTTCATCTCTTCATATATCAAAGGCTTGCGAAGGAACGGCACAATGAACTGTGGTACAAGGGTTATGAATCTCCGTCCAACCGAATGCGCGGAACGTGCCTAGAAGCACCACAAGACGCGAGATTCTAGACGTCTGCCACTTGTGCCACCCTAATCGACCACCATCCCAATCCCCTGAAAACATCCCACCTGGTCATCGGTTACCCAGCAGCTTCAACATCTTACACCTCAAGACTACCATTCAGTTCACAGTTTGGATGATGGCAAGGATGGCGCTTTTGCTCGATTGTGGATGTCCGAGTGATTGTGGCACTTGTTGCTGATGGCCTTGTAATTGTGACATAGACATTCCATAGTTCACCTCCATTCCGCGACGTTTCATCTCGAAATGAATGGGCGGCGGTGCTCCTTGATCGTAAGGCACGTTTTTGGCCTTAAATTTTTTTGATGCTTAGATGGGCAGCAGAAAGTGAATGGCTTGATTAGGTTGCATTTAAAAACACACTCTAGGATGACTGAATGGGCAAAGAAATGGGCGGAGAGTCACAGCCACTGCATACTCTTATAGGTGCACTCCAGGCGCTCCTTTACTTTCCTCGGAAACCGAAGAGGAGCACAGCACCAATGAGCCCACCCGCTGCTCCGCCCATCCAACCAACATGGGAATGTCTCATAAATTTAAACGTTTGGTTTGTAAATCAGGTTATAAAGTTGCTGTTGCTCTAAAAACGCGTGAAACCAGACCAGAATGATCTAGCAGAAAGCCGGCTCATTGCATTAACAATGCTGACGGTACGCTGCGATTGGTTAGGACGCCTACTGGGTTGCCACTGGGCGGAAAGCTTGCTGAACTGTGACTGGCTAGAAACGTGCCCAACTGTGATTGGTCAAAAATGGCAAGACCCGCCGTTATTGGTCTGAGTGGTGAGCGCGATCACTTGACCTATAATAAATAAATCATCTGATATATATGTAATGCGTTAATATATAATATTGAATGAAAAAAAAATAAATAAATAAATTTTACCTGTCTCTGTTGGAAATCGTGCATTGATTGAGGCGATTGTGCTGGCAATTCGATACTAGTCGCGTTATTGCAACGCTTCTTCGCACACATCGCTCCCGTCATATAGCGGTTCTCGAAAAATCTGTAAAAAATGACTGAAGGTAGTGATAAAACCAAGTGGCTTTTTCCTTTTTTCAGTAAATCTATATTGATTCAACCAGGCTACCAGGCCATTATAACACTCCTTTTCAATGATATCTACTTATCACTTGCACACCCACCCGTCGGCACCGGGATGGGTGAAACAAGACGTCAGTACGCCCCCCCCCCTTTTCTCTACTCGTACCCTTTTCCCAGAGACCGTCTTCCGGAAATCAAATCTTCCAACTCCCTTACTCCCCATTAGTTTTTTTTTCGATTCCCAAAGAACTTCTCCAGTTTTTTGGAAAGAAAGTCCAGTAAGAGGGCGGAAGGCTCGCTGTGACATTCTCTATCACAGCCAACTTGACCCACCCTCCCAAGGCGACAAGAAACGACCCCGAGAGGTCCACTCAACAATGCTGTTACTTTGCTAGCTGGTCACCCTCTGGCTGTTTTTGCCATACCAATCCATATCTATATTCACTGTGCCAGCTCAAGATATTCTCCTCAGTTAAATGAACATTCCACTGTAACGGATGGGCGGGACTCACAACAACAGTGCCGTTACTCATTGGTGCACCGCCTCCTGTCACTACGAAACAAGCTCCGGCCAGTGATGGAAGCACATATGCTTTAAGAGACTCTGTTCAGTGTGTCCACCCTGGCTATCCCTGGAACGGATCAGTCACCCAGAAGGTCCTTACAGTAAACACACTCCATGTCCCGTAGATGACAAGACGGGCGTGCCTCCGTACTTCAGGTAGGGACGTTCGCGTTTTAGAACCATTCGGCTGGTGTCTTCTGTTCAGGCAAAAGGACACACAGATGGCTGGGCCTCACTCTATTTAACCCGCAAAACGACGCCATGCTCCGAAAAGTATTTAGCCACGCCTTTCCCGATTTACGGGAGATATGTAGTGTACATCAGCAATTCACTCATACCCTCAGGCAGGAAAGGTGGCAGTAAAAAGTGGTGGAGGGCTTCGTCCCTCCATAGCACTAAAAACCAACACATCGTCTCAATATGATTACAGATACGCCCACTCTTTCATGGCATGTCAGAGCTGACCATCTACGGTAGCAGACCAAACAGGCAACTAATTTTGGCGCTGCTGCCACTTTGAGTTATTTGGTCATTGGAGTACCAAATTTTGAAAGTCCGCATCTTACGGATTAGCGTTTGTTCTGTTCTCACTCTTATCTAAACAGACTAGACAAATTTGACAATCGGGCATTCTGCAATCTTCACATTGATTACATCCGACACGAGCCTTGAATGTGGGCGCGTCTCTCTGAAAATACTCATATTCCTCAAATTTTCCATGGCTTCGAACCTTAAAAATGGCACAGTCCACGCCACTATTGGAATGGAGCAATGTGGGAGGAGCGACCCAATACTGGCTCTCCCCCGTTGATGCATCCCTTCTAAATACCGATTTGACAGCAGAAGGAGAACGCCAATGAAGAAAGGTACACATGACTGGATCTCAGAGCCGTTCGGCTTGGGGTGGGGGCGTTTTGCACTTTCGCTAATTCCTTTTGTTAGTTCATGTTAACTAATGAGTCACTGTTTTGTCAGACCTGTAAACCCTTGTGAAGTTGCGGTAATCAGATTGACTCACTTTGGTCACAAGAATTTACAGGTCTTTACAAGGTGGCCTGTACAGGCTTAGCTGAGCACCATTCGGCGTCCCCATTAAGCCAAACTATGCCATGGATCTCCTCCCCCATTGGATCAGCGTGGACTGTGTCTTTAGGTCCGTATAGTTACCTGAAGTCTGTTTTCTAACACACGCAAACACCTCCTCTCGATACAACTCTGTTTCTTGACGCCTGGTCCGCCGAATTGTGGGCTATCTTGGCAATAGGTGCACTGTCCGCACGGCTTACACTGACAGCCACGACATACGCCACATCTGAAAGGTAATCAATAATAATTTAGTAGACTGATCGATTAATCGATTACTTTAATGCGTGTTGTACTTCAAGAGCCTGTAGGATGGAGTACTGGAATACTAAGTTTCTAGCGCACTTGAATCGCTTTTTTTGGTGGGGGGGAGGAGGGCCATACATGCTTTGGACAGATTTGGTAGCAATTACAACTCGGCTGGGATATAAGACTTTGCCTGCCTGGACAAGAGCTGGCCGGGGACCTCAAACCCGAGCGGTGTGCTCAATGAACAGCGGCCACGGAAAACTGCGCAACTATCACCCGGACCCGGAAGACGGAAAAAAGGAATCGGTTCTTAGGGAGCCTTCCCTCGTTGAGAGGTTGAGGAGAAACCGACAGATGCTGAACACTTCGAACAAGTTCGATCTTTCCGTTTTTTTTTGTTATGTAGAAGGGGTTAGGATGGTAAAAATGCCGATTAGGTAGGGTATGGTAACTCCCCTGACCCCATCAGGTTTGATGAAGTACTACCGAGCAGTACGAAGGTTAGTGCCTTAAAGGTGCCATGGTCCTGCTATGCCATGTAGACTCGAAATGAAGGGAGAAGAGCGGCATCCTTATAAAGGTGACCCCACCAAACCGATACTACTCAGGGCACGTCCTGC